GGGGATGGTCACGCTGCAATCCCTTCTCCTCCATTTTCCTCTCGGGATCTTGGGCATGCACGCACACGCGCCTGGCGTGAGTTTTAAGCCACCGGGTCTGGGACGCGAACTGCGGTTGACTACGTGGGAGTCCAGCGACATAGCCATTACGCTAACTGCTGGTTCCCAGAATTATTTCTTTATTACTATTTTCACATGAATTTTGCCAGAGAAAGACAGAGAGGAAGACTGAGAAAGCAAGCCACCAGGTTTGAGACTTGAACTGCTGTCGGCCATGTGGGAATTCCAGCGCCTCAACCACCACGCCACCTGCTGGTCCCCTGTTGTTGTTGTTGTTGTTGTTGTTTTTTAATTCTCTTACTTGCAGAATGGAGAGAAGTCATCTAGATAAAAACAAAACAAAACAACCCCAAGAAAATGAAGATGCTCATATAACAGGAAGGTTTTCACCTTTTTTCTGTGTTCTCTTCTTCTTTTTTTAGAGGTTTTGCTATAGGGAACATGCACTCGCCAGAAAGACAGAGAGAGACAGAGAGACAGAAAGTGAGAAATCATCTCCCAGGGGGGATGGCCATGCCACAATCCCGTCTCCTCCATTCTCCCTTGGGATCTTGGGCACGCATGCACACGCCCCTGGCGTGAGTTTAAGTCATCAGATCCAGGACCCGAACCACGGTCGACTACATGGGAGTCCAGCGACATAGCCATTGCGCTAACTGCTGGTCCCATCTGTGTGTTCTCTTTTAGTCACTGAACCTTTCAGTGCAGTGGTGTCACTTCAGTAGCCTGACTTTGGAGTCATATTTACAATAAGTATTAATTACTAGAGTACTATGATTCCTATATGCCTTATGTCATTTGGGATAATATAATACCCATTCTACTACAGACATTAATCATTAGGAATCTAAGATGTGGGGACCAGCAGGTGGTGTGGTGGTTAAGGCGCTGGACACTCCCATAAGGCCAACCATGGTTCCAGTTCTGGACCTGTTGGCTTGCTTTCTCACTTTCCCTCTCTCTCTCTGGTCAAATTAAAATCAATGAATGAATGAACAAAATTAAATAAATAATTCTTAAAAAAAAAAAAA